ATGACTATCTCAAAGTCACAACATGGAGCGACCATCAGACGTATCCTCACATATGGACTCTTATTAATGTACATACCGGCGATGCCCTTATGGTAGGCATCATCTGACCGGATTGAGAGGCAGACAAGCGTGTGTGGGGGGGGTAAAAGTGAGGAAAAGCAATAAAATCTGTATTAGGTGCCAAGACAAAAGGAATGAAGGTCCTCGCACTGACTTCATTAATGATCGCAGGATTCGATATTTAGACAAGTTCAGAAAGCAATATTTCAAATATCAAGCACTGACGAAGGATCCCAGAGCAGCCGAAACTTTTAAGATTTTCACAAAACTTTATTGCGCTCGCACATATCAAACTAACAAAAAAAAAAAAAATATCCAAAGAATATTTTTTCATCACTTTGCGTCCGCGCGGGTATACACACACACACACACACACACACACATATATATATATATATATATATATATATATATATATATATATATAGGCAGCATATTTTCATTCAAACAGGTTTGGTTAAATGATTTAGGCATACCATATCAAACAGATTTCATAATAGATTATTTTCTTCGTAGTCTCAGAAAATTGATTAAGAAACATACCAAAATTTTCTTTCAAATTGTTTCTATTTTCCCAAGTACTTTCAATCTCATCTGAGACCATGTTCCGGGGTTTAAGTTGTTAAGTTGCGAATATGTATATATGTTTTTGTAAAATCAACATATTTGAAAACGAAAACTCATCGACATGATGCCTAAATTAATTAATCAAATCTGTTTGAATATATATATATATATATATATATATATATATGTTTGTGTGTGTGTGTGTGTGTGTGTGTGTGTGTGTGTGTGTGTGTGTGTGTGTGTGTGTGTTTAAGTAAGTAATTTAAAGAAAAAACAGACCACTTTAAGGTTCCATTAGTTATAATTTATTTCACCAGAGATTTTATTTTTCTCTGGATGTTCAGACTTCACTTTCAAAGTTGAAAAAATGAATTTAAAATTTACACTTTTGAAGGGCAGCATATAAGGTGAATATAGAGGGTGGTGAGGAATAGTGTGAGAAACATGGTTGAGTCTAGAGAGGGAAGGGAAAGTTTTAATATTTATTTTTATTTTTATTACAATACTTAATATTGAGGAGGATGGGGTAAGGATCAGAGACTGACCTATTTAATCGGTCAACTCACCGGAAATGATATGGAAAAAAGAAGAAAAGAAAAAAAAAGAAAGGGGAAAAGAAAAAGGGGGAAGTAAAGAGAGAAGAAATAAGAGATGGACGTAGGGTTCTGGAGGAAGGAGATGGGTGGTATAGCTTTAGCAATTTAGATAAACACAGATCTTAACGTTTGATAGTAATTTAAATGTTTAAAAACTCCACAATTAAATTAGATTTAATGCTTGCTAGCAATTTAAATATTTAACTTCCCCACAAATGAATTAAGGATTTAATATAAACTGAATATTATATTAATAAAGAATTATAAAAATAAAAATTTACTAATATTTTAATATTGTGAATGGCGATTATGGTAAAATCTTTAATAGTTAGAGTCTAATTCATGAATTTAATGTGAAGCTATTTTTAGATGGGTAATATTTCTTAATTAAAGTTTAAGTTTCAAATCAAGATGGAGTAATATTTGAAGGTAATAGTAAAAAAAATTACTGTTTTTGAGTACAACACATACATATTTACGTAAATACATCCACATGTATTCATATACATGTACAATTACATATATAACCACATACGCATGTATCGATACACATCGGTATACAAGCACATACATATAAAAATATTAACATATACATATACATATTTTCACACACATCCATCTTTATACATATTTTTTTCTTAAATTTTACAGTTAACGTTAGATGGTGAATTAAGTGTTTAAATTTAAAAAAAATAATATTTTTAATTTTAATATTTTTAATATCGTGAATAATGGTTAAGGAATATTTTTTTTTAATTTAAATCCAAGTGATCAATTTAAATTGAGATTATCTCCAGATGAGTAACATTTCTAATTTTTCAAGTTTAATAAGAAATTATTTCATATATATTCAAACAGATTAATTAAATTAAACAGAATTATCACTAAAAAAGATTGACAATATGTATTGAAAAAAATTTTGCGTAGATGGAAATTAGTTGGAGGCCCAGTCCGAAATCCTTATGTTTACACAGAGAGGGCTTCAACGATAAAATATAAATGGACTTCAAGACTTTCAAGTGGTAATTCGAGTGGGACTCGCTAAGAATGGTGTATGAGTCCACACTGAAATTAGTAGCACAATTCTGGCTATTTATTAAGTGTTCTGCGATGGAAAACTCATGTGTATTGATCAGAATGTTGGAATGTGTTGCTTTATTCTGATATGCAAACTTTGAGTTGTTCTCCCTGTGTAGCGCGAAACACAACTACATTTAAAGGAATAAATTAAAGAACTATTATGATGTGGAGGGAGAATGTCCTTCCGCTTGGACGGAAGGACAGGCTTGGCAGAGAAAACCACACGAGTGTTAGCGGCAAATAACAATGTCGAACTGCTACAGAAACCTGCTTACCATATCTATCACTGATATTACCCAGCAAAGGAAGGCGAAGGTACAAGTTCGGTTTTTATTTTTATCTATTATCATCATGAGTGTTAATAAAAATAATTTTTGTCTTCTTATGGCAGTCACATATATATATATATATATATATATATATATATATATATATATATATATATATGGGGGATGTGTGTGTGTGTGTGTGTGTGTGTGTGTGTGTGTGTGTGTGTGTGTGTGTGTGTAAAATATATAGAAAATAGAAAAAAGAACTCGTTAGGTAAATAATCAAAAAGATCTTCAGTATTTTTTGTTATTATTTTAAAAAAAACAGTGCTCGATACAAAAGTAGAGCATAAATATAATTATTTATTTAAAAATATGATTCAACGCTACATAAGAGTTCTCATGTTTCAAAACAAGAGCCGAAAACTTCAATATAATTATTTGAATTAAATTGAATTAAAGTACCAACTCTGTTCCATCTTCAAGCGAAATTTTTTGGGAATAACTAATTTCCCAAATAGCGTTGGAATCATATTTTTAAATATATATATATATATATATATATATATATATATATATATATATATATATATATATATATATGCGTATATGCGTGTGTGTGTGTGTGTGTGTGTGTGTGTGTGTGTGTGTGTGTGAATCTTTGTATTTTTCAATTTAATTTTTTATGATTGAATTTGAAGTTTCAGTTTTGAAACATGGGAATTGCAGTGTTGCGATGATCATACACTTAAAAATAACAATTATATATATATATATATATATATATATGTGTGTGTGTGTGTGTGTGTGTCTGTGTGTGTGTGTGTGTGTGCCTGTGTGTGGGTATGTGTTCGTGTATCTGTGTATAAGAAAAACAACAATATTGTCAGATCACAAGAAAAAATCTTTAAAATATAACAGTCTTGATAGATATCTAACTTATCGATAAACAAGAATAGATTTCGTATCATTCTAGAGGGTTACGTATCAGAAGCAGATTTTGAAGTGGGGAGGAGTGGACCAAGCGAATGCTGGGTAAGCCGTCAGGGGGAACTCTAAGGGAGAAGACGAGTTCCCAGTGTGGTCTGGGCAATTGGCAGACGGGCCGGCAAGTGTGTGCTCTAGAGAGACGAAAACAAAACAGATGTTTGCAAATATATAGTAGTAATACTAATAATAATAATTGTCTTGGTGGGGGTTTTGGTTTGTTAGAATTGGGGTGAAGAGCGGCCTAAAATGGCGGAACACTGCGAGAAATATATGAAGTTTGTCTGTGAGTAAATGCAACATATATATATATATATATATATATATATATATATATATATATATATATATATGTGTGTGTGTGTGTGTGTGTAATACCGATAACAACCCCGACACTTTGATATTGAAAAGAGGTTGCAGTAATAAATAAATAAGAAAAATATTTCTACTTATGAGCAGGACAGCTGATCTCTTCATTTCACTTGATCTCTCTTCCTCTCCCTCTTTATTTCTCTGTCTTTCGCTTTCTTGCAATTTTGTATATTTTTCTTTCTCTTATTTTTTTAATCATATAGTTTTAGAAATGTTCATTTTTTTCTCCATCTTTCTTCTTTCTTCTTTTCACTTGGTCTTTGTCTTTCCCTCCTTAACTACATTTCTTCTGATTTTTCTTTTTTTTCTTTCTTACCCGTTTCAACAATCTTTCTTTCTTTCTTTCTTTCTTTCTTTCTTTCTTTCTTTCTTTCTTTCTTTCTTTCTTCTCTATATCCTATATTATTTTGCTTTCTATTTTGTTCGTTCGTTTATTCCTTCCTTTCTTCCTTCCTTTCTTCCTTCCTTCCTTCCTATCCTACCCGTTCTTTCTTTTTCTTATACGCTCTTTCTTCTTTTTCTTTTTCTTTTCACTTGACATTCGTCTTTCTGTCATTACCTACATTTCATCAGATTTTTCTTTTTTCTTTATTTTCCCTTTTCCAATCTCCATCTCTCCTTCCTTCCTTATTTTTTTCTTTTTTTTCTTTTTTTTTTTTCTTTCTTTCATATATTCTTTTTCCTCTTTCTGTTTTTTTTTGTCTCCTTTCTTCCTTCTTCCTTCTTCCTTCCTTTCTTTTTCTTTCTTTTCTTCTTTTCTTCATTCCTTCCTTCATCCTCCCTTCCTTCCTTTTTTTTCATTCCTTTTTCATTCATTCATTTCATGTCTTCCTTCATTTCCTTCCTTCATTTCTTCATTCCTTCCTTCATCTCTTCCTTCCTTCCTTCCTTCCTTTTTTCCTTCATTCCTTCCTTCCTTCCTTCCTTCATTCCTTTCATCCTTCCTTCCTTCCTTTCTTCTTCCTTCCTTCTTTCCTTCCTTCATTCCTTCCTTTCCTTCATTCATTCATTCCTTCATTCCTTCCTTCCATTCCTTCGTTTCATTTCCTTCATTCCTTCCTTCTTTCTTCCTTCCTTCCCCCTTCCTTCCTTCCTTCCTTCATTCTTTCATTCCTTCCTACTTTCCTTAATTCCTTCCTTCCTTCGTTCCTACCTTCCTTCATTCCTTCATTCATTCATTTCTTTCTTAATATCATTTTGTTGTTTTTTTTGTGTTTTTTATATTTTTTTCTTTTTGCTTCTCTTTTTTCCTTTTCTCTTTTCTGTTCCCACTCAGTATTCTCTTTTTCTTTTTTTTTCTTACTTTTCCTTTTTCATTCCTTACTTTTTTGTTTGATTCTTTCTTTTTATTCATCTTCTTTGCCGCTCACTTTTTGTCTCTTCAATTCTTTCTTTCTTTCTTTCTTTCTTTCTTTCTTTCTTTCTTTCTCATCTTTTCCCCTTCTTCCTTCCTTCATTAATATTGCTGTCTTTCTTTCTTTCTTTCTTTCTTTCTTTCTTTCTTTTTCTTTTCCCCTTCTTCCTTCCTTCATTAATATTGCTTTCTTTCTTTCTTTTCTTTCTTTTTTCTTCTTTTCATCTTTTCTTCCTTCCTTCATTATTGCTTTTTCTTTTTTTCTTTCTTTCTTTCTTTTTTATTCATCTTTTCCCTTTTTCCTTCCTTCATTAATTTCTGTTTTCTTTCTTTCTTTCTTTTTTTCTTTCTCATCTTTTTCCCTTCTTCCTTCCTTCATTTATTGCTGTCTTTTTTTCTTTTTTCTTTCTTTCTTTCTTTCTTTCTTTTCTTCTTTTCCTTCTTCTTCCTTCCTTAATATTTCTGTCTTTCTTTCTTTCTTTCTTTCTTTCTTTCTTTCTTTCTCATCTTTCCCCTTCTTCCTTCCTTCATTATTGCTGTCTTTCTTTCTTTCTTTCTTTCTTTCTTTCTTTCTTTCTTTCTTTCTCATCTTTTCCCTTCTTCCTTCCTTCATTAATATTGCTGTCTTTCTTTCTTTTCTTTCTTTCTTTCTTTCTTTCTTTCTTTCTCATCTTTCCCCTTCTTCCTTCCTTCATTAATATTGCTGTCTTTCTTTCTTTTTTTTTCTTTCTTTCTTTTCATCTTTTCCCCTTCTTCCTTCCTTCATTAATATTGCTGTCTTTCTTTCTTTCTTTTCTTTCTTTCTTTCTTTCTTTTTTCTCATCTTTTCCCCTTCTTCCTTCCTTCATTAATATTGCTGTCTTTCTTTCTTTTCTTTCTTTCTTTCTTTCTTTCTTTCTTTCATCTTTTCCCCTTCTTCCTTCCTTCATTAATTGCTGTCTTTCTTTCTTTCTTTCTTTCTTTCTTTCTTTCTTTCTTTCTCATCTTTTCTTCTTCCTTCCTTCATTAATTTTTCTTTCTTTCTTTCTTTCTTTCTTTCTTTCTTTCCTTCTTTTCCCCTTATTCCTTCCTTCATTTATTTTCTTTCTTTCTTTTCTTTTCTTTCTTTCTTTCTTTCTTTCTTTCTCATCTTTTCCCCTTCTTCCTTCCTTCATTAATATTGCTGTCTTTCTTTCTTTCTTTCTTTCTTTCTTTCTTTCTTTCTTTTCATCTTTTTCCTTCATTAATATTGCTGTCTTTCTTTCTTTCTTTCTTTCTTTCTTTTCTTTCTCATCTTTTCCCCTTCTTCCTTCCTTCATAATTGCTGTCTTTCTTTCTTTCTTTCTTTCTTTCTTTCTTTCTTTTCTTTCTCATCCCCCTTCTTCCTTCCTTCATTAATATTGCTGTCTTTCTTTCTTTCTTTCTTTCTTTCTTTCTTTCTTTCTTTCTTTCTTTCTCATCTTTTCCCCTTCTTCCTTCCTTCATTAATATTGCTGTCTTTCTTTCTTTCTTTCTTTCTTTCTTTTTTTCTTTCTTTCTTTTCATCTTTTCCCTTCTTCCTTCCTTCATTAATATTGCTGTCTTTTCTTTCTTTTCTTTCTTTCTTTCTTTCTTTCTTTTTCATCTTTTCCCTTCTTCCTTCCTTCATTAATATTGCTGTCTTTCTTTCTTTCTTTCTTTCTTTTCTTTCTCATCTTTCCCCTTCTTCCTTCCTTCATTAATATTGCTGTCTTTCTTTCTTTTCTTTCTTTTCTTTCTTTCTTTCTTTCTCATCTTTTCCCCTTCTTCTTCCTTCCTTCATTAATATTGCTGTCTTTTCTTTCTTTCTTTCTTTTCTTTCTTTCTTTCTTTCTCATCTTTTCCCTTCTTCCTTCCTTCATTAATATTTGTCTTTCTTTCTTTCTTTCTTTTCTTTTCTTTTTTCTTTCTCATCTTTTCCCCTTCTTCCTTCCTTCAATTAATATTGCTGTCTTTTCTTTCTTTTTTCTTTCTTTCTTTCTTTTCTTTCTTCATCTTTTCCCCTTCTTCCTTCCCTTTAATATTGCTGTCTTTCTTTCTTTCTTTCTTTTCTTTCTTTCTTTTCATCTTCTTTCTTTTCTTCATTTATTGCTGTCTTTCTTTTCTTTCTTTCTTTCTTTCTTTCTCATCTTTTTCCCTTCTTCCTTCCTTCATTAATATTGCTGTCTTTCTTTCTTTCTTTCTTTCTTTCTTTTTTTCTCATCTTTTCCCTTCTTCCTTCCTTCATTAATTGTCTTTCTTTCTTTCTTTTTTTCTTTCTTTCTTTTCTTTCTTTCTCATCTTTTCCCCTTCTTCCTTCCTTCATTAATATTGCTGTCTTTCTTTCTTTCTTTCTTTCTTTCTTTTTTCTTTCTCATCTTTTTTTCTTCCTTCCTTTTATTGCTGTCTTTCTTTCTTTCTTTCTTTCTTTCTTTCTTTCTTTCTCATCTTTTCCCCTTCTTCCTTCCTTCATTAATATTGCTGTCTTTCTTTCTTTCTTTCTTTCTTTCTTTCTTTCTTTCTTTCTCATCTTTTCCCCTTCTTCCTTCCTTCATTAATATTGCTGTCTTTCTTTCTTTCTTTCTTTCTTTCTTTCTTTCTTTCTTTCTTTCTTTCTTTCTCATCTTTTCCCCTTCTTCCTTCCTTCATTAATATTGCTGTCTTTCTTTTTCTTTCTTTCTTTCTTTTTCTTTCTTTCTTTCTTTTCCCCTTCTTCCTTTTCCCTGTCTTTCTTTCTTTCTTTCTTTCTTTTCATTCTCATCTTTTCCCCTTCTTCCTTCCTTCATTAATATTGCTGTCTTTCTTTCTTTCTTTCTTTCTTTCTTTCTTTTCATCTTTCCCCTTCTTCCTTCCTTCATTAATATTGTCTTTCTTTCTTTCTTTCTTTCTTTCTTTTCTTTTCTCATCTTTTCCCCTTCTTCCTTCCTTCATTAATATTGCTACTTTTTTTCTTTCTTTCTTTCTTTCTTTCTTTCTTTCTCATCTTTTCCCCTTCTTCCTTCCTTCATTAATATTGCTGTCTTTCTTTCTTTCTTTCTTTCTTTCTTTTTCTTTCCCCTTCTTCCTTCCTTCAATAATATTTGTCTTTCTTTCTTTCTTTCTTTCTTTCTTTCTTTCTTTTCATCTTTTCCCTTCTTCCTTCCTTCATTTATTTTCTTTTCTTTCTTTTTTCTTTCTTTCTTTCTTTCTCATCTTTTCCCTTCTTCCTTCCTTTTTAATATTTCTTTCTTTTCTTTTCTTTCTTTCTTTCTCATCTTTTCCCTTCTTCCTTCCTTCATTAATATTTTGTCTTTCTTTCTTTCTTTCTTTCTTTTCTTTCTTTCTCATCTTTTCCCCTTCTTCCTTCCTTCTTCATTAATATTGCTGTCTTTCTTTCTTTTCTTTCTTTCTTTCTTTCTTTCTTTCTTTCTTTTTCATCTTTTCCCTTCTTCCTTCCTTCATTAATATTGCTGTCTTTTCTTTCTTTTTTCTTTCTTTTTTCTTTCTTTCTCATCTTTTCCCCTTCTTTCCTTCCTTCATTAATATTGCTGTCTTTCTTTCTTTCTTTCTTTCTTTCTTTCTTTCTTTCTCATCTTTTTCCCTTCTTCCTTCCTTCATTAATATTGCTGTCTTTTCTTTTTCTTTCTTTCTTTTTTTCTTTTCTTTCTTTCTTTTCATCTTTTCCCCTTCTTCCTTCCTTCATTAATATTGCTGTCTTTTCTTTCTTTCTTTCTTTCTTTCTTTCTTTCTCATCTTTTCCCCTTCTTCCTTCCTTCATTAATATTGCTGTCTTTCTTTCTTTCTTTCTTTCTTTCTTTCTTTCTTTCTTTCTTTCTCATCTTTTTTTCCCCTTCTTCCTTCCCTTCATTAATATTGCTGTCTTTTCTTTCTTTTCTTTCTTTCTTTCTTTCTTTCTCATCTTTTCCCCTTCTTCCTTCCTTCATTAATTTTTCTTTCTTTCTTTCTTTCTTTCTTTCTTTCTTTCTTTCTTTCTCATCTTTTCCCCTTCTTCCTTCCTTCATTAATATTGCTGTCTTTCTTTCTTTCTTTCTTTCTTTCTTTCTTTCTCATCTTTTCCCTTCTTCCTTCCTTCATTAATATTGCTGTCTTTCTTTCTTTTTTCTTTTTCCTTTCTTTCTTTCTTTCTCATCTTTATCCCCTTCCTTCCTTGCTTAATATTTCTGTCTTTCTTTCTTTCTTTCTTTCTTTCTTTCTTCATCTTTTTCCCTTCTTCCTTCCTTCATTAATATTGCTGTCTTTCTTTCTTTCTTTCTTTCTTTCTTTCTCATCTTTTCCCCTTCTTCCTTCCTTCATTAATATTGCTGTCTTTCTTTTTTCTTTCTTTCTTTCTTTCTTTCTTTTCTTTCTCATCTTTTTCCCCTTCTTCCTTCCTTCATTAATATTGCTGTCTTTCTTTCTTTCTTTCTTTCTTTCTTTCTTTCTTTCTCATCTTTTCCCCTTCTTCCTTCCTTCATTAATATTGCTGTCTTTCTTTCTTTCTTTCTTTCTTTCTTTCTTTCTTTCTCATCTTTTCCCCTTCTTCCTTCCTTCATTAATATTGCTGTCTTTCTTTTCTTTCTTTTCTTTCTTTCTTTCTTTCTTTTCTCATCTTTTCCCTTCTTCCTTCCTTCATTAATATTGCTGTCTTTTCTTTCTTTTCTTTTTCTTTCTTTCTTTCTCATCTTTTCCCCTTCTTCCTTCCTTCATTAATATTGCTGTCTTTCTTTCTTTCTTTCTTTCTTTCTTTCTTTCTTTCTCATCTTTTCCCCTTCTTCCTTCCTTCATTAATATTGCTGTCTTTCTTTCTTTCTTTCTTTCTTTCTTTCTTTCTCATCTTTTCCCCTTCTTCCTTCCTTCATTAATATTGCTGTCTTTCTTTCTTTCTTTCTTTCTTTCTTTCTTTCTTTCTCATCTTTTCCCTTCTTCCTTCCTTCATTCTTGTTCTTTCTTTCTTTCTTTTCTTTTCTTTCTTTCTCATCTTTTCCCCTTCTTCCTTCCTTCATTAATATTGCTTTCTTTCTTTCTTTCTTTCTTTTTCTTTCTTTCTCATCTTTTCCCTTCTTCCTTCCTTCATTAATATTGCTGTCTTTCTTTCTTTCTTTCTTTCTTTTCTTTCTTTTCTTTTCTTTCTTTTTCTCATCTTTTCCCCTTCTTCCTTCCTTCATTAATATTGCTGTCTTTCTTTCTTTCTTTCTTTCTTTCTTTCTTTTCTCATCTTTTCCCTTCTTCCTTCCTTCATTAATATTGCTGTCTTTTTTCTTTCTTTCTTTCTTTCTTTCTTTTTCTTTCTTTTCTCATCTTTCCCCTTCTTCCTTCCTTCATTAATATTGTCTTTCTTTCTTTCTTTCTTTCTTTCTTTCTTTCTTTTTTTTTTTCTTCCTTCCTTCATTTTATTCTGTCTTTCCTTCATTTTCTTTTTTCTTTCTCATCTTTTCTTTTCTTTCATTAATTTCTTTCTTTCTTTCTTTTCTTTTCTTTCTCATCTTTTTCCCCTTCTTCCTTCCTTCATTAATATTGCTGTCTTTCTTTTCTTTCTTTTCTTTCTTTCTTTCTTTCTTTCTCATCTTTTTCCCTTCTTCCTTCCTTCATTAATATTGTCTTCTTTCTTTCTTTCTTTCTTTCTTTCTTTTCTTTTCCCTTTTTTCCTTCCTTCATTAATATTCCCTGTCTTTCCTTTCTTTCTTTCTTTTCTTTTCATCTTTTCCCTTCTTCCTTCCTTCATTAATATTGCTTTCTTTTTTTT